CCCCCGGTTCGGCAGCTAATTAAGTCAAAGAGCAGCATTCAACGACCAGATGCAGCCCTATGGTAACTCTTGAAGCTCGATGATCAAGAGCTCCTCCATTGAAGTATAGGATTGTATTGTAGGCCTACCGAGAAAGCTCATGCCACATCGGTCTTCCATGTAAATCCTCTTCGACAATGCATGCTTGCACTAAGAGCTTTATTTTGATGCGTTATGCCGGTACCAAATTGAGACCAAAATGTTTTCATGTAAATCTTTCAGCCAGAGATACGCCAAGATCGAGACGTGTTCATGTCGAATTGTTTTCAGAAGTCGCTTGGCGAGGCCAAGCCTTGACTTTAACCGAGGGACAGTCTATACAATTCCGTTGAGCCATTTGGATGTAATGCCCGAGTTCCTTGTTCGGGGTTTGAATCTGGTTCTAGTACAAATCTAGCCTCATAAAAAGTACCTGAAATCCAATAAAAAAAATCTGATCCGTTAACCCGACAATATGTCTTTTTTTATCCGAGCTCACGGGTGTTTAAAGTTAATTCATCTGCATTTTTTATTAGCCATTATTTCCCTCTCGATGGATTATGATTCTATGAGAAGCTATTATATTTAGGGTAAACATATTTAGGGTAAACATTTTTTATTAGCCATTATGTCACTGTGACTCGAATAGCTGCGCAATGATTGACAACTGTTAAGAGGTTTCAAAAGAGGAATATATCCTTATTTATTGTGATGAGCAGACATGATACTACAAAACCACCTTTTATTTCCCACTAAATATAACGCAAGTAAAATGTGTTGTATGTCGGCTACATTTATTATAGTGTTGGACTGTCTTAAGTGGCGACTTGAGAGAGAGAGAGAGAGAGAGAGAGGGAGAGCATGAGACCAGTGATCCCAATCTAGACCACTAAAGCGCCGCCCCACATGGCTTCGCTGCCGTTGGGACCACCGCCGCCAGGCCACGACGCTGCCGCCGCCGACGCCGCCCTCACCCTCGCTCCACCTGAAATGGCCGACAAGAAGGTCGCCCCCTTTTCCACCTCATCGCATCCTGCCGATTCCCTTTTCCGCTGTTTGCGTTGGGTAGCATCTTCGATTACTTTGCAATCGCCATGGTTGCGGAACGATTTCGTCGTGGCTTCTGTTTTGTGTTCACCCCTGTAGAAAAGCTTGATCGTGTCTGAGAGATTACTTGTGCAAGGGACCTTTCCGCGTTCCTTTTGCAGATCTCGATGGTAAATTGGGTTTTGAGTTATTGTTATGAGGGGTCGTGGATCTGTCGGTTCTTTCGTTTCCCCGTTTTCTTGGAAATTCGGTGATTTCCCTCTTTTTCTCATCACAACGTCGTTTTAACAAACTGCGAATTTTGTTCTTCTGATCTGATTTCTTCTGCCGCGCTTGATTGCGACTTATTGCTCTTTCTTTTTTTTTTCATCATTTCATCTTTATTTACGTTAAAAAAAATTTGCAATATCCACCAAACAAATTTACGACAACTTATCATAACAAGCATCTGTTGTTCAGGAGAGTGAACCAGTAACTGGTCATATCATCTCCACCACCATCGGAGGCAAGAACGGTGAACCAAAACAGGTTCGAAGCCAAATGTGTTGTGCCCGATGATGTCAAATGGGATCTTAAGATTCTGCTTTAGTTCACTTGTTGTGGTGCCTTTTACTTGACATGCAGACAATTAGCTACATGGCTGAGCGTGTTGTAGGGACTGGCTCATTTGGAGTAGTCTTCCAGGTTTCGTACTTCAGGATTTGTATCATGTGATTTTGTGCTCTGGATTCAGATATGGTTCGTCTCTGGCAGGCCAAATGCTTGGAAACGGGAGAAACAGTTGCCATAAAGAAGGTTTTACAGGACAAAAGATACAAAAATCGTGAGCTGCAACTGATGCGCTCAATGGATCATCCAAATGTTATCTGTCTTAAGCATTGTTTCTTCTCCACTACAAGCAGAGATGAGCTTTTCCTTAACCTAGTTATGGAATATGTCCCTGAATCTTTGTATGGCGTCCTAAGGCATTTCAGTAATGTGAATCAGAGGATGCCACTTATCTATGTCAAGCTGTACACATATCAGGTATTCTTGCCAATTCTTGAAGATTTCTTGATGTACATATTTAATTTAGTATTTACATAAATAATTTATGCAGATATTTAGAGGGCTGGCTTATATCCATACTGTTCCAGGAGTTTGCCATAGAGATGTGAAGCCACAGAATGTTCTGGTAGGTTATTGTTACCCAATTATTAGTAAGTTATTAGTTCTGTTTGAGAAAATCTGTTGTTATATGGTTATTTATACATTCCACAGGTTGACCCTCTTACTCACCAAGTCAAATTATGTGATTTTGGAAGTGCAAAAATTCTGGTATGTTTTATACTCAACAAATATTGTGCCATTTATATTTTTTTGTTCTGGGAAATACTTAAATGGTATAAATTAGGTATGTCATTGTGACAATCGATGGCCATTCCTTCTCCAAATCTGCTATGCGGTCTAGCCACACCCAAAATAAACATGAATAGGAGAATCACATTCTTAAACGAATAATTATGTTTTCTTAAAACTAACCTTTAACAAATGAGTTCCATATGGGTTCTCCATTGAGTTAATGAACCAGAAATTGAGCTTAATTCTTTTCTACACTGGTGCAAGACAATTAGGTATTTTCATATGCTTGAACATTGATATACCATTATTAAATAAAAACAAAATAAATGACCAAAACTTGGATAATTAGTGCCAACAATCTACTAAATTTTGTTCTTCAACTACTGAAGCCACTCCTTGTCTTTTTATGAGATGCACAGGCATGGTGTAAAAGGGACCAGTGTGGAGTTACTACTCTTACCAAATTGTATATAGGTAAAAAATATAGGAATGGTGGATGTTACTAATTGGATTACAATTGTCAGTTACAGTGGACTTGTTTGCAAGAATTTTTATGGTGGCAAATAATTGTCACACTTAGTCTCGGTTTTGAAAGAAATAGGAGATAGTGGTCTGACCTATAAATACGTGGTATTTTCTGGTATGACCTTAATTTAAAACCATGATTTCATCTTAACATCATTGGTTAAATTGATATCCTACTTATTAGGTGCAACAAAGATCGATACGATGATATGTCAGTGCAGCTATCTGCATTTCATGTGTAAAATATTTTGAATGCTCATCACAAGTATCCCTTTTTTATCCCATGATGTCTTATTTCTAGCCATTTTGAGACCGAAAAGGAACATACAGGAAATATATGCAGACTTAGCATTTGTTGCACTATCATAGCTGTGTGATATTAGCTGACATGGCATTGTCTTCCTGGGTCACCCTCATATCATATTTCTAGCTTATATGTATTATTAGTACTAGAAAATTAACTTTTTTGGAAAATATGGGAGAAATTAACTTAGACAGCTGGCCCTAAAGCATCTCAATAATTTTCTGTAGGCATGAACTTCATGATGGCTTGCGAATGTTTAGAGCAATTAATATACTTTATTGCTTGAGCAAACAGTAGTAGTGGTAGAATGTTCTGCAAGAAAATTCCAGCTTCTCCTGTTATTGTGTTGCATAGTTTGACTATTATATGAGTCTTCCTTACATTTTATAATTTATATTGTTTTAGGCTGGGCAAAGTAATTCTGAAGTACCAAGTTCTATCATGTAATGATACCAACCTTGTGCACAGTGTGACATGTCCTGTCATGTTTATAGCCGTCTTAATGATTGGTGGTTCATGATATGTATATATTTTGATTGTGCATATTCATCCTCAAAGCGAAAAGAAAACATGATATTTGCCCCGTAATGTAATCCTGATTATTGGTTATACATGGTTTGCCTAGTCAATGACACATGTCATTGCATATGACCCTTGTTTGTTTCTGAACAGATGACATTATAGATCACACTTTTACTAGATCTCCGAAAAATGGGTGGCCAATTTATGAGGTTCTGCCAATGCAGGGTCTTAGATGGATCAATATATAGAGACTGTCCCTTTCATGCATCATAGAAGAAAAAAAGAGAAACTTCATTTTACCTTGCCAGCAAACAAATATACCCCTCCCTCACACTTGTGAAATTCATCCTTCTTTTGGGCTCTAATGTTGTCATTTTTTTTTCTATTAATTAAACTTTCCTACCAGGTTAAGGGTGAAGTGAACATATCTTATATTTGTTCTCGCTATTACCGTGCTCCGGAGCTTATTTTTGGTGCAACTGAATATACAACATCAATTGATATATGGTCAGCAGGTTGTGTTCTTGCTGAGTTACTTATTGGCCAGGTAAGCATACAACAAATTCTAAAGAGCAGACATTTGATGCAGTCTTAGAAATTTAATTATTTTAAATTGTCTATATGTGCTAGCCACTGTTTCCTGGTGAAAGTGCTGTCGATCAGCTCGTCCAGATTGTCAAGGTATGGCTTTGTGACATCCTCAGTTTATAACAAATGTGTGTGTGTGTGTTTATATATATATATATATATATATATACTCTTTAAAATTGTAAATGGTAGATGAAGTGCTCTAATGTAGGTTCTTGGAACTCCAACGCGCGAGGAAATTCGGTGCATGAATCCTAGCTATACAGAGTTCAGGTTTCCACAGATAAAAGCTCATCCATGGCATAAGGTTAGTTGCATGCTTTTCTGAATGACTGTAGCTTTTCATTTTTTTCTAACATATATCTTCAAAATTCAAAATATACACATCAAAGGTGCTAGCAGAGAACAATGCTTTAACTTGAATCTAAAGTGCCAGAAGATAATAATGAACATCCAAATGCAGATAGCCTTATCTCATTTAGTAAAGGACATTGTTGGATGACTAGTCTGAAAGTGATCTGTTCTGATATGTTCTATTGCTTTTTTTTTTCACTAAATGAGATAAGACTAGTCTGAAAGTGATCCAGATTAATTTTGTGTGTATTACGCTCATAATTTGATTTCTATGTTCATTTTAGGTCTTAACGGTAAAGATTTATAATCAACTGCCTGTGGTAACTTGTGATTTCCATCGTCATCGGAAAGCAAAAGGAAAATTTAGCTGTGGATATCCCATGCATTTCTCAGCAGGATGTTCATCTCTTAATCTATGGATGTACTCATACATCTTTGCTAACTTCTTTCTGGGTTTCCTGCTAGGGAACATTTTGGCACAGGTTTATATGGTTTAAATTGGGTCAAAAGACCCTTTGTTTACAAGTGAAATTTTAAAATTGGTAGCATCTAAGAAGTTAAAAACCATATGTGCAATTTATATCTTTATTACCTGATCAAATGAGTGTGTAGGTTATCATCTTTGGCCTATGCATTAAATTTGTCTGGTGACCATGGAAAAGTTGGTAGTTCACTACCAAAATTTCAGATTTAAGTGCTGTTACTATATTTTGAAACAATTTTTCTGTAGCTGAGTTACTTCTCAAAAAGCTTGTTGCCATTATTATGCATAATGTAAATGTGCTTATTTTGAAGAGAAACTGTAGTAAGTTTTGATTTTCAGATTTTCCACAAGCGAATGCCTCCCGAAGCTATAGATCTTACGTCACGCCTTCTCCAATACTCCCCATGTTTTCGTTGCTCTGCAGTAAGTACTTTTCTCCACTTTTTTCAAGTCAATAAAGCATTTAACAACTTTCTAATATACTAGAGTTAAAGCTTATTATGGTTGGACTTTGTTTCCTAAGATTTGTAAACATATTATTTTTTATTGTTTGGATTAAAAAAAAATGGCCCAGTGCCAAAGGCTTCTGCCAATTTGGGATATAGGGAGGGACAATTGTCCTTGATCACCTTTTGTACTTGCATGAACAAATTAAAAATGTTGATTTTTTTCCCTTCACTTTTGTGAATTTGATCTTTGTCCAGCTGGAAGCATGTGCCCATCCCTTCTTTGATGAGCTACGAGAACCTAATGCGCGATTGCCAAATGGTCGCCCTCTGCCTCCTCTTTTCAACTTTAATCAAGAAGTACGAATGCTAACTTTTTAAAGCTTTGTCTGCAAATTTTGATGTTCCCCATTTGTACTGCTATGTTTTTTCTCTAACTGAAATTTAATTGACAAAAATTGATAAATAAGAATCTATCGGCTGCATATATTGGTTTGCTTTCTTGCTGATTATTGATAATATTAACATAATATTGATAATTTATTCACATAGGGGGCGGTTGGGAATAATTCAATACATTTGTGTGGGTCAAGCATGCTATTGTATCTCTTACTTGAATTGGGGATTAGGCAGGGGTCTGATGGGACTTTCGAGAGGTAGGTTGAGATGGTTTGTAAAACCCATACCATTCCCATCCTATTATACATTGCAGTATGCACTTTATGTGCCTTGCCATGTACTTGCGCAGATACAATACCGGATTTTATTTATATGGACTCACACTGCAACACAAGTTTTCTCCTGTAGACAGCAAGGATTTGTCAATTAAATTCCTGGTCATTGATATCTCGAATCAGCTATGCTACACAACCATGTTCTAGACATCATGCACAGAAGCACCTATATTTCAGTATCCAACAACTTAATATTGGATTATTTCCTAAACATGCCCATGCCGACTGGACTTTGTCCACAATTTAGACCTCAGCTATGTTAGCAAATGATGATTTCTAACAAAGCTAAGCAATTGTCTCTCTAAATTTTGTGTTAGACTTTTCTATGTGCTGGTGGCCTTTTTGATATCTTCCAGTCATCTTCAGATCTGATTGATGACTTTTTTGAGGTAAAAGTTGTCAATGATGATTGTCCGGAAGAGATAATAAAAAAAATTGCTTCAACAATCATGAAGTTTGTCAGCTTTGTCAACATTGAATTGCTTTTCCTTTTACCCTTTTAGAAAAATGGCATAAAAAGTTTACCCCTTTTTCCATCAACTTTTAAGCTGCTTCCCTGGATGACCAGTTTAGCATATGCTATGCTGATGTGAGATCTTGGATGCCTGTGAACTCCATTTCTGTGGTCCAAGGATATGAAAGTCCGTGCTTAGGATGATTCTTAGAGTGAGAAGGGCTGGGATTCTGAAAGTGACCGTTCACTCGGCATCCTGGTTGTTATCTGGAGATATAGCAATTACAGATCCGTACAAACTTGAATAGTTGCATGAAAACGGTCAACACTGATGGATATTAATAGGCTGCTTTGTGTTTGCAGTTGGCTGGAGCATCACCAGAGCTTATTAACAAATTGATTCCAGAACATGTGAGGCGGCAATCTGGTCTCGGTTTCTTGCATCCAGCCGGAACATAAACTCATAACACTTCCGAAGTGTGGTTCTCAGAAGATAGACGGCCCTTGTATTGTTCATTTCATGTCCATGAGAAAGTTTAGGAAAAAGATGGCTCACTTGATGGAAGCTGACAAGGCATAGCTTCTGGACTGTTTAGGTGGGTCCCTAGCCGATGCTCCTATAAACTTGTGACTCTTTGAGTGTTAAGATATATGACTAGAGGGCAGGGTGCAGGTTTCTTTGCAGTGTTGTTTGGCTGATACATTTCTGTTCTCAATGATTAGCCTGGTTATCTTGGTTTCTATTTAATAGTACTGGAGGATGGTAATTTTAAGGTGGTTGGATGTAGTAGCCTGTTGTGTAAATGTAATACCTGATTCATAGTTTGGATGGTGTGGAGCTGGAAACTGGGAAATCCATGTATCACCCCAATTTATATTGTATCTTCGACCACTGCTTCGAGTCTGATGACTGCTAACCTATTGATTTACGACTTGTGCCTGCTCATGCAAGCGTTGGTGATGATTTCTACAGCCTTAACCACTGCAGCTAGTGACGCACTTATCAGAGATGGTCAATGCACAAGGAGTTTGGTGGAAATCCAAGGTAAACCACTGCAAAGTATGCCTTGTTTTATGTCAGCATGATGGATTGTGCTTAGAAATAAGTTTTCATCACCGCAAAGTTGGTAGTTGATTTAGGTTTGTGCCTTTTTGGCAATTAAGAGAAGCTAGAGAATGCTTTTGTCATCATGGCCATGTAATAATAGTAGCAAGCTGTTCATTGCCTGGTGCTTATGTTGTCACACAAACAATGAATATAACATGAGTGGAATGGCTTTTGTCTGTGTGCTTGCTTCATCATCAATGATTTAGGTCGTCGTTTGTGTGTCGGCAATCGGCCCACCTGCCTCTAAGTCAAAAAATATGATTTGGCTGTGTTGTTGTTGTTGTCTTCTACTTTTGTGTGCAGGCCTCCTGTGATTTCCAAATGAGAAGGCTACCAAACCCAAGTTATTGACTTGTGGCAGAGGAGGCATTCTCTTCAGGAGAAGTCCCAACGCATGTGCTGCTTCATGCTCTGTGGCATGTGGAAGACAGCACGAGGTCCCATACCACCAAAGTGTCCTGTAATTGTCAACCACCCTTCAGAAGTTGGGGAATTTATGTCTTCTCAAAATCTGGTAACAGTCTTTTTGCCCATGAAAATTTTTCACGGCATATCCTTTCAAATATTAAAATCTTTCTTGTGCATTCTTGTTTGACATTGGCTGGTTTTTGAGTTCCATTGGCATGCAAAATGCCTAAACTAGTTTTTAGTATTTCTTACGATCATAATAAGTCTGTAAAAAGTGTTGATATCTTTTAGATTTTTAACTAAAAATTTAATGATAGTTGCCTATCCAACATTCTGATACAAGTTCATATATATATATATATATATATATATATATATATATATATAACTTCAAATATTTTATGTATTATATATATATATATGTATATATATATATGTATATATATATATATGTATATATATATATATGTATATATATATATATATATATATATATATATAGAGAGAGAGAGAGAGAGAGAGAGAGAGAGAGAGAGAGAGAAAGAGAGAGAGATATGGATGCTCAGAACACTTGACACAGTCATTTGTGTCAAATGGATCATGGAGATATAGGTATATTTCCATGTTTATTCTCGCAATAGAACCGTCAGTGCTTCAACTCCATGGCGACCTCCTCGAGGAGTGCAGACATGACACGCTCTTCCACCTGACCCACAACGCCATCAACTTCTTCCACGCAAATGCCGTTCCTCCAGCCCAAGTCCCACATCGCGTTCAACCACCCATCTCCGCATCGGAGATCCCTCTCCAGTCTCACGTAAAGCCCGTCCGTGGAAGCCACCTTCTCGTCCGCCTTACCGTAACTGGCGAGCCTTCTCATTCCCCTGCTCATCTCCCCCACCAGCTTATCCATGGCCGCGTCGTCCGCTGACGAGCTCCTCGAGCAGGCCGGCAGCAGAGGGTGGGCGCAGAGATCTCGATGGCTCCTTTTACGCGCTACCGACTCCTCTGCGCAATCCCAATACAGCTTGGCATCTTCGTCAACCTGCTTCAGCTCAGCGAGGCTCATCTCATGCGCATGCGACAGGAGTGAGAGAAGTAAGGCTTCCAGGTATCCCTCTTTATCTTCTCTTTTAGCGGTGTTTCTGGCCTCGCTGCCAACAAGCTTCGCAACTGCTGCTTTTGCTTTGCCAGGACTTGTGCTGGGCTTCGGCATGATCTCGCACATGATCTTCTCTGTGAGATCATCAAGGTTACAAGGAAACGAAATTAATTTCTCGAGTTCCAACTCCGTGGATTCCAAGGCTGAGTGGATGCTGTACCATTGATGGCTGCTCTTGGGTGCAGCCTTCTCTGTTTAGGAGGTTGAGCCGCAGGTATAATAATGTTGATCGCTGATGCATCCTCTGCCTTGCGGTAAGGATCGATGATTCCTTCACCGTCTTTCCGCTCTGTAGTCTACAAAAACAGAGATGGTAATATCGAAGCATTCTATTGTGAATAAGAGTTACAAGTCAGACCACCACCGAGTATATATATATATATATATAAATTCTAAAGGATATCTTTGGAGCCAAAATGGTTGAAATCAGCATGAAAGATTCTATGCATTTATATATCATCTTTTATGCGCATCGATCGAACACTTTCCATCAGAAGAAAAAGAAGCTTCTTTTTATTTGTTCTACCTTGAATTTGGCAGTCTTTTGAGCTGGTTTTGATCCAGTAACCTTCTTCTCTGTTGACGCAGTAATGGTGGAGCTCCTCGACACCGGTTGCTGTGGTCTCCCTCTGCCGAAAGCGATGCTCTGCTTTCGGGCCTCGGTTGATGCTGTTCTCGTCTTCTTGGCGTGAACCACCGGAGCTGCTGCAGTCTTCACATCTCTTCTGCTCTGTGCTTGCTTTCGATCCGAACCCGACTTTTGTCGCCCATCACACGCGGAAGAACCTGCTGCCATTCCACTCTTCGAGATCTCAACTTCCTTCCTTTCTGATTCGTGTGCCACTTGTCTTCCTGAAGTCTTACAGGAACCGAGCTCCTCCTGCTTCGCTCCTCTCCTCGACGATGTGGCTTCGTCATCCGTATCGAATCTTCTGCTGCGTTCGATCTTTTGCAGCATCGACCTTGTCGCCTCGGGCGCTCGAACCTGTTGTTTTCTTTTGATGGATTCGGCAGGGACTTGTTCCAATCCCATAAGCCTCGCGATCAAGCTTGGAGCTTTCATCTTCATGGGTTGACCCGAGGCTGTGATTGGATTCCTTGTGTTGACCTCTTCCTCGTGACGGGAGGCATTCGATCCACTTCTCGGATGGAAACCTAATGATCGGCTAGACGACGCCTTCTCATCGTCGGAAGAGTTCAGCAGCAGGCTGCGGCCGTAGAGGCTGTCTCTGATCACTTCTTTCAGCTCCGCCCCGCAGCTCCTCCACGAACGACTGCCGCAGAGCTTCTCTTCCTCCGGCACTGCCAATCTTCTCGACCCCTGCAACCCTCCTCCCTCCACGAGTTCTCCCTTGCCCAAAAACCCTGCCTTCTCCTTCGTCTTCGGAAGACCACGGCCGGCGTTCTTCGATCCGCCATCGAGGTTGGCCACCTTAAACCATGAACTGACCACGTAGCTCAGCCTGCGAGCTCGCCCGGAGATCTCCAACAGCTGCACGTCGCCACTCTCCCCGAAGGCCATCGCATCGCCTTCCCTCCTCGCCACCCAAGCCGACGCAATCGACAGCCTCTTCGGGGGATTCCACTACAGCAAAAGGCGATGCGGTTGACTCAAAATCTTCATTCAACCGTTCCAAATCGTTCTCTTCTGCCGACGGGATTTGCAATACGAATCCACAACCCGCTGCCTTAAATTGGCTGAAACCATTATTCTATCCATATATAGGTATAAGACTACCACAGACGAGGCCAAAGGATCCATGTCTTCCTCGCCAACAGAAGCATCAGCACGTCACTGAAATCTGTAGCAAATTTGACTGCGTGGAAGACTAACCCTTTCTTCGAAGAGAACAAGGGAGGAGAAAGAGACCTACCGGAGACATGAAGCGTATGATCTGCGTGGAAGATCAAGAAGAAAGACCTGTCTCCATCCCCACCAAGAAGAAATGCGATGTCTCGACTCGTCTACGTCGCGGAGCACGAGGAGGCGGAGGACGAGCGAGCCTTGTGCTTCCTGCCGGTCTTCACGCAGACTGAGCCCATTTAATTGGCGGGTCCATACGATGCTGTTACTCCGCAGTAGGAGGAAGGAAGACAACGAAACCGTGCCGCAGACGCAGGACCAGATCTGTGAACTCTAGCCGTTTCCTCTTCCCTTTCATTTGATGTGGGGAGATCGTCTTCTCCAAGGAATAATGGAGGAGGAGTTGACCCACCATGTTTTCATCGATGAAAGCCCCCCTCGAAAGCGCTCTATCAGAGCGTTCGTTCGTAGAGCAGGTGGCCACGATGGAGACGGTGAGGAGTCGCTCACGATGCATGATGGGATCGGATGGGGAGCGAGGAAGAGCTTCACTCTAAACTTGGTTCTCGCATGGGTTTTAAGCTGCATGATGGGATCGGATGGGGAGCGAGGAAGAGCTTCACTCTAAACTTGGTTCTCGCATGGGTTTTAAGCTGCATGATGGGATCGTCCCAGCAAATATATCTATCACCTCTTATTCCTTGTGCTTCCAATCGTTGTGGGGGTTTGGTTATGGCATTCACGTCTCTGCAGCCTTTTTCTGATTCCGTGGGTGGGTATTGTGAGTGCACCAATTAAAATCTTCTCGAGAACGAGAACAACAACAACAACAACAGCAAAAAGATTCCTCACTGAATGAATGATTGTAGCTGCAGCTGTAAGTAAGGATACTATGATTTGATATCTCAGGTCTGATATCAAATATCAAATATAATGCACACATCATGATTGTTGTCCTTTGTCACTGTTTCTGCCGATTGGTGACCGTATATTTCGGTTGAGGAAGGAACATTATGGATAAACTTTAATTATGCTTTTTTTTAATCATAATCTAATTCTATAAAATAAAGTGACTTGATGTTTTTTTTTGTCGAGGTCTAACATTAAATAGTAATACACAACTCTAGGCTGCCTAGAGTTGAGATTTGATGACTTGAGATTAAACTCAGCAGTCAAAACCTCTTCATCTCCTCTCCTCTCCTCTTCCTATCTATTGTTCATGATGGATGCATGCCTTTTATCCTGTCATCTTTTCAGAAGAGAAGGCAGTCCATTCATTAGTTATCATATGTGAGAGAGTTACTAGGCAGGCTGTCAATCTTGAGGGGCCCCACAGGAGGTTGCATGGAGTGCAAGGAAATCAATGGACATGGCTGAACAACGAAGAAAGCAGGAGGTCCTTGGCACTGAGATGATGACGGCCACCATTGGCTGCCACAAAGCACTGCACTGGTCTATCAATTTTTGTGTGGGCAAAAGAAAGATGACACTGTTGCAAAGTTTTGGGCAACCCACGAATTGGATCCTTTTGTTTTCTTTTTTATTATTATTATTTTATTTTTTTTTAACAAAGTACAGAAGTTTCATCTTTGGCCGACTCATTGCCGTATGATTTACCAGCAGTAAAACTGTAAAAAATGAAAAGAAAAAAAATTGAACCTACCACTGTTTTTTTTTTATCGTGACCTTTTTCTAAGTACATATTAATTCGATCTCGATTTGTGATTAATTTGTCTTAACTCTAAGGGTATCGAATCTTCGAGTCATTTTCGATAAATACCCATTTGATGTTTAAATTAGTCTAAAGCTACATTCAAGTTTTTGATGAATGTGCATGGCGAGCCGTATGCAATTAACTCTTAAGACCGTTACTCTCTTGATCGATGTTGGCTATCATGAATAGTTAATTTTGATCATGTAGTGCCAAGACAAGGATACTTTGGCTTACTTGAGCACATAACGTTGAGATGCCATCCTTTGTGGCATTAATATGTTGAATACATGTTGGCCATATGGTTCTAAAGTGTTGGGCACGTGTCAATTACGTGACATTAATGTTACAGTCTTACTTGATTTTTTCTAAATCATGTGACATCCTTGCGTGTTCATTCTTTAAGAGTTAGTCTCCACAAATTCTCATATGGTCCTTTAAAGACCCGTAAAAGAGAGGACGAATTAGACGAAATATTTCACTTGGGATTCATAAGTAATCATTTCATCAAATACACTATAGCCAATGTAAATTATAAATATAGACTTCGCAAGCTCTAAACGACCACACAACAAAGGGTTTAAAATGATCTATTATAAGTGTTCACGTGATAGAATCTTCATTTATAAACCTAAAATGGTTACCAAACTCAATCAAAATAGGATTGTCAAACCTATGACTAATCCTCTACATGATATGAAAAACATGAATAAAATCGGAAGGTACAGACATACATGAGGATTATATCAAACATCATGTTTATAACTTTGTCCGTAAAACTAAAGTGTGAGAGAGGTATTAGCATTGTGTAGGTTGTGTGGGTTTAAAGTGTCGGTATTAACTTGCCATCAACACATGTGATTAATGATTGATTATCCGATAAAATTATTCACTACATTCGCTGTTGTACAGATGTCATAATATTATATCATATTAAGCAAATCGAAATGGAGGATCGACTCCTTACAAGTGCAAGCTCCAATTAGCATGCTGCTCATCTTAATGCTTTTTTATTTTCTTTAAGACAAGCGATGAGATTTGATCCCAAAAATCTTATTATATAAAAAAAAACAAGATCTTTATTAGGCAAAGCGCCCGTCAATTTCATGGTATCATCAAATAGAGGACTTTGGTGTTTGATATAATGGATATTAAACTGGTGAACTTCATCAATCCGAATTAGGAAACTGTCTAATTTCCTACCCCAAGATACTTGGATCCAATTTAAACGGGTTGGATAGACAGACGTCTGTTTAGGAAAAGAATCCGACCCGTTATCAATCCTTGTGGTTGGGGTTGGGGTCAGTGAAAGATCCAGAATTCCCGGGGCTATTTGCCAGTCTCGGAATCTATGGACCGGAAATCTGACCACCCACTTCTCTCCTCGACACAACAAACCCGGCCACAGCCCATAAATAGCCTCCTTTCCTATTTTATTCTTCTTCTTCTTCTTCCTTCCCTCCTTAACCCTCTCTTTCTTTCTCCTCCCTTCCCTCTTACATGCACCCCACGTCCTGACACAATCCCCGCTCCTCCCTTGGGTGCATGTCGGAGGTGGACTCCTCCTCAACCCGTTCGACCATTTGCCAAAGACGACGTCTCTCTCTCTCTCTCTCTTTCTCTCTCTCTCTCTCTCTCTCTCTCTCTCTCTCTCTCTCTCTCTCTCTCTCTCTCTCTCTCTCTCTCTCTCTCTCTGTTTGTCGCACTGAGCAGCGCTGCCCTCCTCGTCGTCCAAGGAACACCGTTTCGACCTGCCTTCCATTCCGTCTGCCGGCCGGGCATGCACAAGGCTTGCCTTGACATGGTGCCCTTTCGAGCCGTCGGCGCTTGATAGCTCGGTTTCTCGAGCTAGGACTTGGGTTTGACAGGTCGATGCACCGGGAGGAGATGTTGGAGGACTCAGGCAACAGAGCACATACCTTAAGCTTCGAGGATGCGGGAGGGGGCGGGTCGCTTGCCGACGACAAGGTGCTCGTCAGGAGCCAGGGTTCAACAACGGCCAGCGACGCTTCGGAGGGCCAGCAGATCGGCACCGCGCCTGATCGCTCACCTGAGGAAGGACCCAAGTCAAGGCCGAGAAAGGACGGAAATGGCCCCCCATCAGGTAAGCCAGCAGCAATTACTTGTTCGAATGTTAAAAATGATGATGACACATTGAGATTAATTGCAGCAAAATTACAGCCCACATTTTGGTCTCCCGGATTTGGACACCATATACAACGATATTGTTCTTGCAGTAACGAAGCTTAAATTTGATTGGGGGCATAGCTAACCTCACTGTGATGGAATCATTTCTCTTTGATAAACTCTTTTGGCAGATATGGAGTTGATGAAGGAGAAGTTCGCAAAGCTTCTTCTCGGTGAAGACATGTCCGGTGCAGGAACAGGAGTTTCCTCAGCTCTGGCTCTCTCTAATGCCATCACAAATCTTGCAGGTTTTGTCTAATATCTTGGCTCAGCAGTATCTCAATGTCACACGACAGTTGAAGCATTTCATATACAGCATATAGATCAAATAATGGGTATCAATGTATGTGATGTGATGTCATAAACCGGCCTTTCAAAACTTGCTTCCTTTCTGTAGATCGATCCCAAATCTTGAAGAAACAATACATTAATGCGACAATTATTCTGAAAATTATGAAGTTACATGCAGAATTCCAACTTGCATAAAAAATTCATCTCGACCAGAGACTTGTTTGCCGTTCCGATGCACGTTCCCCCTCCCCCTCTAATGGTTCCCCATTGCTCATGCTTTATTCAGCTTCTGTTTTCGGAGAGCAGTGGCGCTTGGAACCGATGTCGGCAGAAAGGAAGGCAAGGTGGAGAAAGGAAATCGACTGGCTCTTATCCGTCACCGATCATATTGTGGAGTTTGTTGCCTCCCAGCAGACATCAGAGGATGGAAAACACATGGAGGTAAATAAGCTACCTTTCATCGACATCTAAGAACAACACTCGCGACATTTTCTCTTACAAAAACTACCTCGAGACCTAACCCGATTCAACACTTGTGTCATCCTCTTTACAGATAATGATAACACAGCAACGGAAAGATCTTCGCATGAACATTCCTGCATTGAGGAAGCTTGATGCGATGCTGATTGTAAGTAGATAACTTAACTTGGAGGAGATAGATGGTCCTCGGATGTACTAACCATAATCGATTCTGATATATATATATATATATATATATATATATATATATATATGATCTTGATGGTGCGTACAGGAATACCTTGACAATTTCAAGGACCAAAAAGAGTTCTGGTACGTATCCAGAGATGCTGATGAATCCGAGAAGGGAAACGCACAGAGGACCGATGATAAGTGGTGGCTCCCAACCGTGAGAGTCCCTCCGAACGGGTTGTCGGAAGCATCAAGAAAATGGATTCAGCATCAGAAAGAGCTGGTGAACCAAGTGCTGAAAGCAGCTATGGCCATCAACGCGAATGTTCTAATGGAAATGGAGATTCCGGAAGACTACATCGAATCCCTTCCTAAGGTAGGCCATCTGAGTTTGATATCCTCACGACCCATAACTGGTTGGAATAAAAAACTAGTGCAAGAGATGCTTTTGCCCGACTCAAATGCAGTGCGTATCACTATCATCTTCTGCTTCCGGAGCACCACTGCACTAATCATGAAGTAGAGGCGGGAACTTACGACTTACATTCTGCAGGCCGGGAAAGTGATTTTGCTCCCATAGTAGCCAGACTCGCTACTTTAGGGAGTTCAACCATCTCATCAACTAGATGAATTTTCCTACTCTTTACCATGAGTGAACCTTGCAAAGGGAATCACATTTAAATGTCTACCTACTCTTTGCACTGCTTTCCTATGTTCCTCCGCCAATAAATAGTCATCGACCAATTTTCATGACACAACAGAACGGTAGATCAAGCCTCGGAGATGCACTATATAGAAATATTACAGAGGAAGACTTTGATGCCGAAGCGTTCCTTGAATCCGCGGACTTATCGACCGAGCACAAGATCCTAGACCTCAAAGATCGCATCGAAGCATCTGTTGTCATCTGGAAGAGGAAGATGCACAACAAAGACGTCAAATCATCATGGGTTTCAGCCGTCAGCTGGGGGAAGCGGGAGCAGTTCGAAGATAGAGCAGAAACAATTTTACTCATTCTCAAGCACAGATTCCCTGGTATCCCTCAATCACAGCTGGACATAAGCAAGATCCAATACAATAAGGTATTTCTTCCTACCACTAGAATGAACGTTATTTCTTCTCTGAAAATATTTTACTCTCTGTACGTACGTACGTATAGGATGTGGGCTACTCTATCCTCGAAAGCTACTCGAGGATTCTCGAAAGTTTAGCTTTCACCGTGATGTCTCGGATAGAAGATGTTCTTCGTGCAGATTCTCTCGCTCAAGATCCGGCTCATGGCAAGTTACTGGATTCAGAACAAGTTACTGGAACGGCCAAATCCATCGTCGATACAGCGGAGGAAACCGAAAAGCTTAATAAACTAGAATCAAACGGTTCCATGACACTGTCAGATTTCATGGAATGGGAGATGGATCAAGATACTGAGACGAAGGAGGAGGAGGAGGAGGAATCAGGTAATTTGGATTAAATGTTCGATTCAGAAGATTGATGAAACAGTCTTACTGGTAGTGTTACTACTGACGAGAAACAAATTTCCCATTGAGATACCAGAGACCGGAGGAGGGGCTTAAGCAGCAGCAGCAGCAGCAGCACTACAGCTCGCTTGCCTCTATTATATTAACAAGCCCCACGAGCCAAGGTGGACGAAAGATGATGGACGCTTGGGATGGTTACGAATGAAAATGTACATAAATTTTATCAGAGCTTCTCAGGATCAAAGTCTAACAGCTATTATTGTGTTCAGACAACAGTGTGCTGCTTTCCTTTCTTGGATGCCCTGTTGAATTCTTGATGATGATGATGCATATCTCATATTATGACTGATACCAGTAATTCATTCCTTGCTGACACCCAACAACAACTAAATAATACAAGAGATTTTGTATGATTACACTTGGATATGCATTTACTGTTTCCTAATTTCACCGACATTATATTGACTCCCTCTTTTACAGAGATAAATCTTATATGCAGGGACAATTCATAAAGCAGTTGACAACTTGTTACTTGAATCCATCCTTTTTCTTTATATATTAACATAGTTAAGAGAGAAATTTGAGTATGGTGACTCACTTAAAGACTGTACAACTAACCTATAACCAAGAACACATTAACACTACTCATTTAAGCGTCTCATTCGAAAAAATCACTCTCAGGTTCTCCCTAATTATGGGTTTTCCTATCAATGCAGCTTATGAAATCACATGCTCATGCCCATCTTTTTACGTTTAATGGACAAAAATCAACATACTGCATGGAATTCAAACAAATAGGTGAAGAAGAGTTAATCTGATCGGAGCAACGATATTGAGCCAAAAAAGGACCATGTCCAGATCATTTTACCTTTGGCGTTACATGTGAAGCTGATCGAACGGGTAGACATCCCTCCTGAGGTGAGGAAATGATCGAGCTTCTTCCTCGTTTATGCAGACCACTACATCTTGCAGCGAGGCCTGGGCTTAGATGGCAGCCGAGCCACCTTTCACGATCGCAGCATGCTGCCGAAAGTCGTGGAAATTAGGCAGGCGAGCATACAGTATTTTACGGCACCATTATGTATCCATATGCAAAGGTCAATCTTTCCGAAACCTCCTATTATCCCTTAAGACCTACAAAAGAGAAAATGAGTAAGAGAAAACGTCTCACTCGGGATCCACAAGCAATCACTTCATAGCCAATGCAAATTACAAACAAACTTCACAAGCTCTGAACGGTCGCACAACAAAAGGTCCACTATAAACCGAAATCCCCACAAGTGTTCATATGACAACATTTATTTGCAAGCCTATGACGGCCACCAAAACCAAAGAAAATGGGGTTGCTAAGTCTACTGTTAGCCCTTTACATGTTGTGCAAAGCATGAACAAAACCGAAAGATACGAACATACATGAGCATTATATCAAACACCCTGTTTACAATTTTGTCCATGACATTCTCCTCCACTTATTCCTTTGACATCTTCATCAAAGCTTTTGCAGACGTTGCATCTCCTCGCATTTGCTGAGTCTTCAATCTTCTACTCCAATTGCAATGCACCTCTTGGCTCCCAATTGCACTCTGCCACTATTGTTGAGTAGTCGAACTTTGATTCGCTATGCTGCTTCAACTCGCCAATGACTTTGACTCTGGTGTGGGGTTGGTTGAGTTGTGTTGATCCTTGTTGTTTCCTACATATCTCTCAAATGATGGAAAAAACTATTCTTAGTATATGCCAGTCTCTCAAATGCCTCATGCCGCTTGAACTAAGTAGATGCTTGTTGGAGCTTTAACGAGCATTGCCTCATAGACTTTAAAGTTTTTGAGTCTTTCCTCCGTAAAATTTGTCTATCAATTCTTTTTCCATTTAGTCGTCACTTCTAAGTAGGTTCGCATCACTTTCGCTTTCGATATGCATTATGTTGGAAAATAAAGGGAATAATTTACTCTCAGTAACACTGATCACCATTACCGAGGACTTGACAAATATTGTCTTCCATTAAGTTTCTTCGAAGGGTCTTTGAACCTATGCAGAGCTCTACTACTGGATATATAAAAGAATTAGGGTACTTAATTTCGTCCATTCTCTTAAAAGTTGAGAAGACAAAGGTTATTTGACTTCGCCTGCCTCCTCGAGGGTTGTACTCTATGCATCGAGCTGGTTACTAGCCTTTGCCCTCTCTTTGTTTACACTTAAAGTACTCAAAGTGTTTGCACTCCTTGCGTTAAGTTAGCTACTATAATTTACCTTTTCAATACTATCAAACTTTTAGAATGCAAGAAGTTTTCACCCCAAATTATAGCAAGTATTTAATAGTTTTGATCGTCTCTTGCACCGTCTTCTTCATCATCTTTGTCGCCTTCTCCTTTGAGTTGCAAAGGTGCAACACAACGTACTGCCTAGTTTATTCCTTGGTTGAACATTCTTGCATCGACCCGAAGTTCTCCACTTTTAGCTATCTTGATAAGAAGCTCATTGACACCGGTCTTATGAAGTTCCCTGGCCTTTGCCCTTCAACTTTATCTCGGTACATTGAGTTCACCTCTGCATTTTCTACCTCCTCGACCCTTTTCATGACCAAGTATTCTCCCTCAAAGAGAACAAAGGATCAATGACTTTATGGAAGTCTCGCCTATACGGCCCATGACTCTACTATCCGTCACCTCGTATCTGTGTTCCTTTCTTCATGATCAGCAGATCTACCTCTATGGTACTATGGCACTCCTCCAAGTCTACCTCCATTCTAATCGATGTTTAGTTTTGGGTAGCTAGGTCTCCCTAGACTCATCATCGCTTCCTTACCCCTTTCGACCTTCTGCTTCAATACATCTTTGTTCTACAAGCAATTCTCCTTGGTTGATGGAAAAACAAAATGTAACTCCCATGTTGCAGGGTTTACAGTGATTCTATTCTCCTTAGCTTACTCGGCCTTGTCCTCTGACTTGTCGAGCTCCCTTAAGCGAATATGAACTATGGAGCAGTCCAACTTTCTAGTCACTCTGATTATACCTCTATATGATCAAGTCCCCCAATGTGACTCACTAGTACTTGTATTCGATATACTCCCTCGATGGTACATAGCCCCCATATGTTGATAACCAAGGCTTTTATCTAATGCAAAATTTGATGCACACACGAAAGACTCACCTCTATGATACCATGGTATTCATTCCTTGAATCCATAGTCTTTCTTGTTATCATGTTATTCATCGAAGTGGAGCTCTTAGTAGCTCCCGATCATACATCTGTGTATCGTATTGCCATAAACTATTCCAGGTGTGGAGTTTTGGGTAGCGATTGGAAGAGCTGTTAGGATCGGAGCGACACTAAGAGGGGGGGGAGGGGGGGGTGAATTAGTGCAGCGGATTAAAACTTCGGTTTTGGCAAATCTTTCGATACGATAAAAATCGAACTTGAAAAGTGTTAGGACTCTAGCTTGGAGAGTCCTAATTGAGAGGGACATTCATGTAAAAATGTTAGGACTCTAGCTAGGAGAGTCCTAATTGAGAGGGACATTCTGTTAGGACTCTAGCTAGGAGAGTCCTAATTGTGAGTGGCATTCATATAGGAGGTTTTTTCTTAGAG